AAGCTCCTATCTGTCTGTGGCTGGGTCTGGCCTGCAATGATCATCCATCAGTGACAGACACGACGGGTTCTGCGGCAAATCTGGGGCATAGTAGGGAGTGACAGTCACAAGCCTCTTCTACTTTAAGCGCTCCAAATGGGGCTGATAGAGTCCAAGGTCCAGAAATGATGGGGAGGGACTACCGCTCCCACTTTACAGGTGAGAAGACGGAGGCTCGGGGTACATTAGGGATTTGCTGCTGCGGTTTGTGCAGAGCCAGCCCTGGGTTTCAGGTGCTCACGGATCCTGGCAGTTTCCGGCAGGTTCTGAAGGGTCTGACTGCAGAGCCCTGTTTCTCCAGAACTATCATGCAGGGGCTGTGCTCCTCCATTGCTGGTCAGGTTATGGAGGAAGCCATGGAGCTCACTGAAGTCTTTGGGCCCAGTCTCAACTCTTCCCACCCCCTCCCTGCAAGGTTATGAACCCAGCCCTGCCCCCGCCCCCACCCTGCCCTGCACCCTGGGACGGCTAACAAGGCCAGAGCCCACGCCAGTCCCTCCTGCCTTCCCAGAAATCAGACCCATTAAAGAATTCTGATGTCCCCTGAGATCAAGCAGAACTTTGGACTCCAGAGACCCCTTATTCTGCCAGGGGCCCTTTCCAACAGTGAGATTTGTTAACTTGTTAGCAGAGAAGCAGCCACGCTCTAGATAATCCCCCAGCATATGAGCCACCATCTGCGCCTGGCATCCTGGGCACCCGCAGCCACTACAGTCTGCTCCTCCCAGCAGAGCCTCCATGCAGGGCCTTCCCTGCCAGCCGCAGCCACAGTGCTGTCTAAATCTGCATGAAGCACAAGATCCACAACCCCTGGGAGCAGAAGGGCCAGTGAGGGGCGGAGGATTCAGAGGAAACCCGGGAGGGAGACCTGGAGGAGGTGAAATGGTCAGGGGAGACTCAACGGGGCTGGAGGGAAGAACTCACACTAGTTACTGTAACTTAACATGAGGGTCCCTTTTCTGGGACTTCTCATCTAAGCCTCCTCACTTTATGGAACAGACATCATTGTTCCCATTTTGCAGACGAGGAAATTGAGGCCCACAGAGGTTAAATGATCTGCCCAAGGTCACACAGTATGTCTATAGTGGGGAAGGGGATTCAAACCTGGTGACTCCTAAGTCCATCTGCTTCCCCCAACCACAACCTAGGTCTGCTCTTCACTGCATGGGGCTCCCCTTGGCCCCCCTCCCTCTGTGGCCTCACCAAAGCCACGGGGCCGCCCCCCCGGGAGAGGGCAGCCTCAGTAAATCCCAGCCCTCAGTGAGGAGGGGCCGAGAAGATCCCTCATGAGAGGCAAACATTTCCCGGCAGAGTAAATCCCTGGCACTGCAGCCACCCTCCCTCCCCAGGAAGTTTGTAAATCAAACCTCAGACCTGGATCTGCAGCATCTGCTGTGGGAAGTGAGGCAGGAAGCAGGGGGAGGGACGCAGAGAGAAGAGCAGAGCCCCTAGTCAGGCCCTGGAGGCTTCTGGGATGGAGGGGCACAGGGTGGCCGGTGAGGGACTATTGCCCCTTCCTGGGACCCCTGCCAGCTCTGACATTCTGGAGGTCCTTGACCCCATGGGAACCACTGGAGCAGAAGGTCTGGGCTCAGGGAGGAGGCTGCGCAGGGGGCTTGGGGTCAGCAGCATCTCTGAGCTAAGCCCTGGGTGGGGGCGATCAGTGGGGAAGAGGGGGCTGGGGGCCACAGAGGACAGGCCCGGGGTGGGGGTGCCCGGCAGGGGGCCTGGACCAGGGCAGCAGGAACGAAGCCAGAAGGGCAGGACCCTACCCTGGGCTGGGAGTCAGAGCCTGGGTGCGTTCTGGTTCTGCAGCTCGCCGGCTGTGTGACCTTGGGGAAGTCACGGGGCCTCTCTGGTCTCTCTCGGCTGCCTCCTCTGCACAGTGGAGATGAGTATTCCTCCCTGGATGGGGGGCTGCTGGGAGGACTGAAGGGGGTCCAGGAGGGAAAAGCCAGTCGGGAAGGTCCCTCAGGGGCACACGGGCCAGGCCTGGCCCCGCCCCACCTGCCTCGGCTCCCAGCCTCCTGGTGATTGGCCAGGCCCTGGCGTCCCCGCCCCCGAGAGCCCAGCTGATTGGGGGAGGCGGGGCCTCTATGCAGAGGAGGCAGCTCCCTCCCTGCTCCCCCCTCTCCCCCAAGGCCGCCCCTCCTGGGGCCTCACAGGTGCTGGCTTGTTTCCCCAGGAAAGGCCGGAGCCTGGAAAAGCACGGGCTTTACTGTCTAAAGGCGGGACCTCTCCGGCTGCGTCTCCCCAGGACCCATGCTGCCCCCCCCGCCCCACCACCGGCCCCCCCTTCCTAATCCCTGTCCCCTCACCAGCCCGGTGACTTTGGGCAAGTCCTTCGGGTCTCTGAGCGGCAGTCTCCTCCCCTGTTGAAGGGGGTACGAATGCCCGCCTCACGCATTCGTCCTGTTCCTTTACACGTCCCTGTGGTCCTTCAGCAAACGTCCCTTGGGAGCCTCCTGGGTGCCGGGCCCTGACCTGGGCGCTGGGGACACGGATATGGGCAGTGGGGACGAGGCTCTGCTCCTTCTGACCTCCCTCGGGTGGGCCATCAAGTTTCACTGCACTGAGGACCTGGCAGGACAGTGGTCAGTGAAGCTGCTGAGAGCCATGACCATGTAGGGTGGACAGGTGACTCCGGTGGGGGCCCATGGAAGCACCTAGCCAGGGTGCCCCCCCCCCCCCGCCCGGCTGCAGGTCAGTCCATCCTGCAATGGTCCCTACCACGCAGCCCTGCTGATTTCCACAGGCCACGGCCTGCTACGCTCCCCCGTTCTCTGGGAACACCCGGCTCCCATACCCGGCATCTCCTGGTCACAGGAGGTCCAGCCCTGCTGGCTTTTCCTGTCTCCATGGGGCCAGCCAGGGGCTCTCAGCCCAGCCAGATAAGCGTGGCCTCTCAGGTCCCCCGTGTTCACTTGGCTCCCCATCAGGGGCTTCCTGTCTCCCTCCACCTCTCCCATCCTCGGAACTTGTCAGACACTCTGCTCCCGTAGCCAGCAGCGAGTGCCTCCCTCTTTCCATTGAGATAACCAGATTTTTAATTATTATAATTATCACCTGAGGAATCGGGTTCCTGCCTGGACAATTAAAATGAGAGTCAGTTCTGCCTTGTCTCTCCTTTCAGCCTGAATCTGACGGTGAATTGTGTAACACACTTGGCAGCAAGAGCTGTAGGAGACCCTTGAGGGGAAAGAGGAGTCTGGTGGGTGAGGGATGAATGTGGATGTCACTGCATGTCTGGGATAAGGGCCCCCACGTGTATGTGTGTGAGTGTGTGTGTGCGTGTGTGCACAACTGTGCCCAAGAGTATGTATGTATGTGTGTGCCTGTGCACGTATGAGTACGTGCAGATGTGCCTGTGGACATGCATGTGCCTGTGTATGTGAATATATGGATGCACCTGATCGCATGCATATGAGCATGTGTTCTGAGCGTGCACAGTGAGGGAAAGGGGTGGGGTGACCAGATGCAAGCAGGACATGGGAGGTGGGTCTGGTGACTGACATTGGTGTAAGGCTATGTGAGGAGGAGGTAATGGGTGCAGGAGCAGGTCTGTCCCTAGCGGTATCCGCAGGGGCCCTGGAGGCCAGCAGGTCCCCCACTTCTGGGTTGTCAATTTCCCCTCTCCAAGCCTCATTTTGCTCCCCTGCAAACAGGGTACCATGATGGTTCCTCCTGCATAGGACCATCAGCTGTCAGAATTAAGTGCAATGGGCCATGAGTTCAGCACACACAGCTCAGGAGGGTTAGTTGTTAGTACTCACCCAGGGTAGCACCATGGGGGACAGTGTGGTGACCGATCAGGTGATAGAGCATGACCTTGGGTGATGAGGACTCAGGTCCTGAGGCCCGGGTGGCAGGGCCCCTCCAGTACTTGGCTTGGCTGGGGGTCTGCTGTCCTCTGCAGAGACCCGCCCATCCTCCAGGGGAGGGACAGGAGGTCTCCATCTGGCCCCAGGGGTGCCATCATGGGATCAACTTGTGGAGCATCCACCGGCTACCTGGCCCCAGGTACCTGAACCAATCCTGAGCTGAGCCTCCCTCTCCTGTGACGGATGGGCAGTCATGGATGAGGCTGCAGGGAAGCCCTGAGGGCCCTGATGGACTGAGTGAAGAGAAACTTCCAGAGCAGGTCTAAGGTCGAAGGTCAGAGGAAGAAAAGCACCCTGAGACCTATCAAGCTCCCATTCTGCACCCCACTCAGCTCTAGCCAAGGGCCAGCCAGCCTTCCTCTAGTCTCCAGTGTCCCATAATGGGAGCTTAAGGCTCCACCGGACTACCAGCATCCTCCTCAGAGACACCCAGGCCCTGGGGTGAGCCTTCAGGCCCTTCTTCTTCTCTAAGGGGTTGGGGATGCAGAGAGATGGTAAGCATGGCGGGCAGCCCCTCCCTCCCACTTTGTGAGTCTAGGAATTCAATTTGCATTTTAGGTCAACCACCTGCAGGATGAGATTCTGGGTTTATTTCTTAGCAACCTCAGCCCTGTGGCCATAGGAGACGGTTTCTTTTGGGGTGACATTGAAGTTTCATGTCATTTATAAGACACTTGAGCTGGGAATTAGAATCCCTGAGCTCATTCTCTTCTTTTCCAGACTTTGTCCAGTAACATTAGGTGCAACCATCTAATTTCACTATATTTGTTAGTTTAACAAGACTGTTCAGATGCATCTTCTACCTGGTCACTCAGATCCTTGCTTTTTGGAAGTGCTTGCTTAGGATTATCCAATGATGGTATTTTGCACATTTCTGTTGCCAGATCACACCATAGGCTTATCAGGCCTCTCTTTACAAACAGAGTCATTGGTGTCTTCAATTAGATTAGAATGCCAATTCCAGAAAAACTCAAATTAACTCGGAAAATAATTCATCTTTAAGATTCTGCTTCTCTAGAACCACTCTCAATACCAAAACATGGATAGGCAGGTTTCTCTAGAGAAATAGAACCCATGGGATGGTGTTTATTTAGCAACAAAGAGAATTGTTACAAGGAATTATGGAGACTGGCAAGTCAGACCTGCAGTGCAAGCCAATGGGAGGAGACCCAGTATATCCCGTGGTGCAGGTGGAGTCTGAAAGCATATCTGCGTAGATGTAAGAATGTAAACCTATAGGAACAAACAGACAAAAGAATTTTTTTTTAAGTTTCAGAGTTTGTTTGGGGTTTTTTTGTTTTGTTTTGTTTTGTTTTGTTTTTTTAGCAAACCCCAGGCACGCATAGGAAAACTCAAGGAGACTCTTGAGAAAGCATTAGCTGAGATGCAGGATAAGGAAGGGATGCTTCCAACTGCCCAAATCCACCCAGACCAATTTCCTCTAAGGACCATAAACCTTAATCTGCAGAGCAAAGAGAAACAAAAACTGTTGCCTTAGGGCACTGGTGGGAATCCACTGCAACTGCAGAAAGGAAACAGGATAAAAATAAGTACTAGCCATGGAGAGGGGCAGGAATGCATATTTAAAAGAGGTCCAGGGTTACAGCTGGAAGCAAAAACACTTGTGAAGTCCACACCTGGCTACCCAAGGGCATAGTACTTGCCCAAGACTGAAAATGAATCACATCATCATAAATATACCCTCTACACTCCTCCCACACTGGCTAGCAAGCACTGAGTAAAAATAACAATGGAATGTCTGGGAGAGCTTTAAAAGATCACCTATATGGTGCGGCACAAAGGAAGGACCCGAAGTCAGGGACAAGGGAAGTAGACACTGGAAATTAACCTCTGGAAACCCATCCAAAACCCTAAACACAAGGTATCACTAGATGAACTTGAAGCCTGTGGTATATTGAGGGTAACAACCACAGACCTCAAACTAAGCCCAGCTCCTGACTAGATTAACACTTACTCCCACACAAAAGTCTAGCAGAAGAAAAGGTGTGCATATCTCCAAACATGAAAGAGCATTTACCTCAGAATTTATCATCCTAAAAAAGATGTCCAGCATTCAATAAAAAGTTATGAGACAGATGAAAAGGCAAGGGAAAAAAACTACAAAAAAGGATTCGAAACAATAATCAAAACCAAACTTAGATATGACACAGATGTTGGAACTATTAGAGAATTTTAAATTTTTAAAAAATATTTTATTTATTTCTGAGAGAGAGAGAGAGAGCGTGAGCAGGGGAGGGTCAGAGAGAGAGACATAGAATCCGAAACAGGCTCCAGGCTCTGAGCTAGCTGTCAGCACAGAGAACAACGTGGGGTTAGAACCCACGAACTGTGAGATCATGACCTGAGCTGAAGTCAGATGCTTAACTGACTGAGCCACCCAGGCGCCCTGGAACTATCAGAGAATTTTAAGTCGCTGTGATTAATATATTAAAGGTTCTAATGAAAAGGTTGACAATATGTAAGATCAAATGATTAGTTCCAGCAGAGAAGGAAACTCTAAGAAAATATCAAGTGGAAATGCTAAAAAAGTAAAAACACAGTAACAAAGATGAGGCATACCTCCCATGGGCTCATCAGTGGACTTGAAATACCAAGAAAAGAATCAGTGACTTATAGGTAAGTCAATGAATTATCCAGCTGAAATAAAAAAGATAAGAAGGAAGGAAGGAAAGAAGAAAGGAAGGAAGGAAAGAAGGGAGGAAGGGAGGGAGGAAGGGGAGGCAACAAACAGAACACAGCATCCAAGAACTTTGGGGCAATATCAAATAGTATAATATGCAAGTAATTGTAATTCCAGAAGGACAATAGGAAAAAAAAAAGATAAGAGAGATATTTTAAGAAATAATATCCAAGAGTTTCCAAAATGAATGACATATACCAAACTATAGGTCCAAGAAGCTTAGAGAACATCAAACAGAATCAATTCCAAAAATCAAATATATATAATATATATTATACATTTTATATGTATATTATACATTATATATATAACAAACCCAAAAAGTATAGGGAAATCAATTCGAACTAATTGATAGAAACCAAAATCAAAGAGAAAATCCTAAAGAGAGCCAAAGAAATACGACCTATAAACACAGAGGAAAGGAGATAAGAATGACAGCAAACTTCCTGTCAGAAAACATGCAAACAAGAATAAAACGGAATGGTAACTTAAAAGTGCTGGAAAAATATAAAAAGATCAACCCCAAATTTTATACCCAGCGAAAATATCTTTGGACATTATGGAGAATAAACATTTTCTAAGACAAACAAAAACTTAAGAAAGTTATTCATAGATAGACATACTCTGATTAATAAGTATTTAGGTAAGTTCTTCAAGTGAAAGGAATTTATCAGTATAAACTTAGAACTACACAAATAAAGAGTATTATTAATGAAATCAATCAAGACATTAATTTTCTTTGTTATTTCAATTGTCCTGAAAAATAAAGAACTCTCTAAAGAAAAATAATAACAATATATCACATGGTTATAGCATATGTGAAATTGAAATATATGATAAAAATAGTACAAAGGATAAGAGGTAAGAATTGGGAATATATTGTTTTCCTTCACTTTCATATTTATGAAGTGGTATGTTATTTTAAGGTATTCTCAAATTAATTGAAATGTATGTTATGAACACTATGGTAACCACTAATTTTTTTTAAATAATGGAATAGAAGAGATAAAGTGAAATTATCAAAAATGTTCACTTAACTCAAGAGAAGGCAGAAGAGGAAAAAAGAAATAAACAACAGATGGAACATATTAGGAAGTAGCTAATGCGATGATAGATTTCAAACCAACCACATCAATAATCACCATAAATGTGAAGGAATTAAGTGCACAAGATTTTCAGGTTGAATTTAAAAAGCAAGACTGAGCCATATGCTGTCCACAATAAACTCTCTCTAAACATAAAGACATCAGGTGCTCAACAGTGAAAGGATGTAGCAAGATATATCTTGCAAACACTCACTAAAAGAAAGCTGGAGTGGTTATATTAATATCAGAAAAAATAGACTTCAGAACAAGAAATATCATCAGATATAAAGAGGAACATTACATAATGATATGTGGGACAATTCTCCAAGAAGACCTACCAATCCTAAATGTAGCACCTAACTTCAGAGCTTCCAAATAATTAAGGAAAAATCAGAACAGAAAGGAGAGAGACAAGTTCACAGTTATAGTTGGAAATGTCAACACTTCTCTGTCTATAATTCATCGATTGAAAAAGCAGGAAACTTCCAAGGACATGGATAACCTGAAGAACATAATCAACAAAACTTACCTTGCTGATGTATATAGACCCCTCCATCCAGCAACAGCAGAATACCTTCTCTAGTCCACGTGGAAGCTTTGTCAGTATAAATTGTATTCTAGACCATACAACACACTGAAACGAAAAGCAATAATAAAAATTATATTCTCAAATGATAATAGTATTAAACTGGAAATCAACCATGGAGATATAACTGGGAAATGAGCAAACATTTGGAAATTTAAAAATATACAGGTCAGGAGGATACCTTAAGGGAAATAGAAAAAAAATTTTGAATAAAGAGAAAATAAAAATAAGGCAGATCAAAATTTGGGGGACAGAGCAGTATTTAGAGAGAAATTTATAGCGCTAAACACATGTATTCATCTGCTCGGGCAGTCGTAACAAAATGCCACAGACTGGGAGGCATAAACAACAGAAATTTATTTTCTTACAATTCTGGAGGCTGGAAATCCAAGATCGAGATGTTGGCGGAGTTAGTTTCTTGTGAGGCTTCTATTCCTGACCTGTAGATGGCCACCTTTTTTCTGTGTCCTTATGTGGCCTCTCTTCCTGTACTTATGCACACACATTCTTGGTGTCTCTCTCTCTCTCCTTATAAGGACACCAGTCCTATAGGAGAAGGATGTCATCCTTATGACTTCATTTAATCTTAATTACCTTCCTAAAGACCCTATCTCCAAATATAGTCACTTTGGGGGTTAGAGCAACAACATACAGGCTTGGGAGGGCATGTGATTCAGTATACAACATTTCAGTACAAAACTAGAGAAAAATCAGCAAATTAAACTCAAAACAAGCAGAGTAAACCAATGATAGAGGTAAATGATACAGATCCATTGACTGGATATGAGAATCAAAAACACTGGAAAGAAGATCATAGACTAATATCCCATATGAACACAGGTGCAAAAATTCTAAACAAATTTCTAAACAATCTTAGCAACTATAACTCGTTGATAACATAAAAAAGGATAACACCTCATGACCAAGTAGGGTTAATCTGAGGACTGAAAGGTTGGCTTAAAAAAAACAGAGAGGGGACATGGGTCAATTGTGTGTTCAACTCTTGATTTCGACTCTGCTCATGATCTCACAGTGATCAAGTCCCAAATAGGGCCTGCACTGAGCATGAAGCCTACATAGGATTCTCTGTACCTCTTCCCTTCTCTTTCTCTCTCTCTCTTTCAAATTTAAAAAGTTTTTTTGAAAATAGAAGAAACTGGGTATGAAGTAAATGGGAACTCTCTATACTATTTTCACAAATTTTCTGTAATTCTAAAACTATTCTAAAATGAAAAGTTTGTTCTTTAAAATGAGCTGAAACTTTAAAAACCAGATGAATTACTGATGCACACTACAATATGGATAAATCACATCATAATTATGCAGATTGAAAGAAGCCAGACCAAAAGAGGACATTCTGTATGGTTCTGTTCACATATAATTCTATATAATTTCCTGTAACAACAAGCACATGAGTAGTTGCCTAGGGTCCGTGTGTGGAGAGGTTGCCATGAGGGAGAGTTACAAAAGGTAGAAGGAAACAAAGAGGAGGTGAAGGTTAAATTCATGATCTTGATTGTGGCGATTATTTTATAGGTGTATAAATCTGATAAAACTTATCCAATTGCATGCTTTTTATATATGTAGTCTGTTGTAAGTTAATTACACCTCAGAAAAATATGTTTTTTAAGAACTATCTGGGGCATCTGGGTGGCTCTGTAGGTTGAGCATCCGACTTCAGCTCAGGTCATGATCTCGCAGTTCACAAGTTTGAGCCCCATGTCAGACTCTGTGCTGACAGCTCAGAGCCTAGAGCCTGCTTCGGGTTCCCTTTCTCTGCCCCTCCCCCACTTGTGCTCAGTCTTTCGCTCTCAAAAATAGCATTAAAATTTTTTAAATAAAAAATAAAAACTTACCAATTTGTACCACTTTAAATATGAGTGGTTTATTATAAGTCAATTATACTTCAGTGAAGCAGATAAAAATCAGCAAAGAAAACCTACTCTGCAGTTTGTGCTTTCCCTCATCAAGTCCCATCTCTGCCCCATTAGGTAATCTTGAACAGGTGTGATGTACTGTCATCACCTTGGGGATGTTAGGATTGGGTTTTTATGGAGATTGGTACCTTCAGCAATTTTCCAGTAAAGCAAGTGTTTCCTATGAGATGCATATATTTGCAGGTTTGCTGGTAAACTCTCCCTTCACCTGTACCAAGGAATCTAGGTGCACTCAAGGTATGGTTGCCTTGGTGACCATGGACCCTGCCCTCTGTGGAGCCCTACAAATGCTAATCACATTGCATCCACACGGCAACCCTGCAACATTACTCCCATTTTACAGACAATGAAACTAAGACCAAAGAGGTGAAGGAACACATCTGAGGCTCATGGCTGGGTCAAGGCAGAGTCAGGACTCCAACCTTGATTCCATCAAGCAGTGACCTGCTGGAGTTTATACATCCCATCATCTCCACCCCCAGCATCTTACATAGGCACATTGTCTAAGGTAAAGCAATATGCTTGCTATTACAAGAGTGAGCCCTGGCTTCCTCCTGAGACGTGCCCCACTCAAAGCCGTCCTCAGTGATTGACTTCAGGGGTATCCCGCTTCAAAGCCTGGGTTCCTTTCCAAGTTATCTTGGGCTTGGACTTCACAGGGGGGAGAGCCAAAAGACCTGGTTCATGGAGGCTAGTTCTTGTGGCATCCATGGATAATCTGAGAGTGGAGCTTGGGGAAGAGTGATGGCCCCATTGCTTCTAAGTGCATTGAGGACCCAACCTCAGAAGCAATGATTTGAGGGTGATGGTTGGAAGCCATCTCTGAGGACAGGTGTTTGCTCAACAACCAGAGGATATTCCGCTCAAGATCTCTCTGAGCTCTTCTCTTTGGCTTCCCCACGGGAGCCACCCCAGTTGTCTCTCATTATCAACACAGAGGGCAGATTTAGGGTCCTGGCACTTCTAGTGAACTCTGTCCCCAGCCCTTCTCCACAGACCAGTGAGCAGGGAATGTGGGGACACAGATCACCAGGCTCCCAGTCCTCAAAGTCTAGGACCAGGGTCCTACAGGAACGGGGGTGGGGGAAGAGTGGAGAGGGAGCAGGACAGGGTTTGCACCATCGATGAATTACAGGACACAGGTTACAAATGAGGCAAATTGCAGCTCATCAGACACGGAACAACCTTAATTTTGTTCAGCTGCGGTTGCTGCATTGGCTGCACCTGGACAGTTACTTCAACTCCTCATCTTGTTCTCCTTGAACTGAGAAAAAAAGAGAGCGATACATCCCACTCTGATTGGATTCCAGCATCAGTGCAAACTCTGGAGCGAGCGTCACTGGTGGGAGCCGGGTGTTCCTGGAAGTCATGTAAACTAGAGCAGCTAAAAAGCATAATCATTCCTATTTATGGAGCTCCACGTTACCCCACACACCCACACGGGCCACCTCATCTAACCCTAACCCCCACAGCCACGCTTCTGAAACTTGTGTCCTGCTCCACTGCCTCCTGCCTATGGGACCCTGGGCAAGCCCCTCCCCTTCCCTGGGGCCTCAGTTTCCTCATCTGCAGAAGGGGACTCATAACAGAACCTCCTTCCACATCATGGGGAGGACTCCGTGGAGAGCGCTGGGCACAGGGCCCTTCACCCAAGGCAGCGGGTGTCACCCCGAGCTAGGGTGTCAGAGGGGACATTTTAAACCATGAAGTTCTGGGTCCACAGGAGGGCTGTTACTCCCACAACTGTCATTCACTCTGGGTGTCCTTTCTAGACTCCCACGTGGAGGCCCATAGCTATTGTGTCTCTCTATCCAGCAGCGACAAGGGCAGGTCTGCCCTGACCTCGGTCTGCAGAAATGGATTCTCTGTGCTCCATGAAAGCTGAGAATCATAGAAAATGATTTTCTTTTCCACTTCATGATGGGAGCACGGACCTGTCGGGGTCCCGCTTTGTACCCTGAATGAACAATTCAGGCCGTGCGCATCCTTCCCACCAGCAAGGGCCTTGTGGCTGACAATTTGGGAAAATGGACCCAAGCCTTTAAGACACATTATATAGAAAGCGGTTCCTCGTTTATCTTTTCTTCTTCCTTTTCCTTAAATGACTGTCTCTCATTCACTCTTCTGTCTTGGGAAAGACCCAGAAAGGACAATGAATCTATAAAATTCACGAACTCCCTGAAATTGTGGCTCTTAAAAATCATACCCATTTGCAAAATGAAATACCACCAAGTGTGTGTAAACTTGGGCAATTTCACGAGGTTCAATTGTTTGCTGTAGATCTGTCTGTAGGTACCTGCTCCTAACTGGGGCCCATGGCTTCCACTTCGAGCTCTGATACCCAGGGTGCTGAGGGAGGCCTGGCTCCATCTTCCAGCCCTGCCTCTGCCCTTCAGGAAGCCCGCAAAGGTGCCACCTGTACCCCTCACCTGTCCAGATGGACACAGGAGGAAGCAGGGTTTAGGGTGGAGCTCCATTTTGAACACCCCTCCCTGAGCCCAGACCCCCTTTCTGGCTCACTATATTCGAGGCTCCATGGTCCAGCTACGATCCTGGCTCTTGACCTTTGCATGTGGCCTTGGCATTGGGCCCGAAAGTCTCACTTTCCTAATGGCTCACTCCAGCCTCTTTCCACAGCAGAACCAGGACAATGGCCTTGAAAGTGGAGTTGGGGGAAGGGACTAGATTTCTTTTTTCTTTTAATGTTTTATTTGTTTCTGAGAGACAGAGAGCATGAGCAAGGGAGGGTCAGAGAGAGAGGGAGATACAGAATCTGAAGCAAGCTCCAGGCTTTGAGCTAGCCAGCAGCGCAGAGCCCTACAGGGGCCTTGAACCCACGAACCGTGTGATCATGACCTGAGCTGAAGTCAGACGCTTAACTGACTGAGCCACCCAGGTGCCCCTAGATTTCATACTATCCTCAGCCCTGGGCAAGACAGACCCCTGCCCTCAGCCCTGCCCTTTGAAGGACTGTATTCTGACTCACTCTGGCTGTGCCTCTTCCCATGAACTGTGGAATCTGCATGGCCGTCTGAAACCCGGGTCTGTCTCCTATGTTCGATCACAGTTTGTGTGCCTGGGACTCCAGAAGTCCCTGCTCAAACGGCCTGG